GGCCGAGCGCAGCCCCTCCGGGGCCTTCGGTCGGGGGCTTTCGGCCGCGTCTGGGCGGGTGCCGGAGCCGCGCGGCTTTCGCTCGCCCTCCTGCGGGCCGCGAGCGCGCGGAGCCGCCGCGACCACCTGCCCGAGCCCCGACCCCGCGCGGGCCCGGCCCACGGCTGCCCCGCGTGTGCGAGGCACGCTGGCCGGCGGCTGCCGCACACCCACTGCCCTGGGCCCCGGCCGGACTCGGGCCGAGCCTGCCGGGGACAGCGTTTCAAGTTGGGGGGGGAGTGGAGTTGGGGTGAAACCAGCCCTGATCCTCCTGTCGCTGCACACGTTAACGCCCAGAACGGTGGCAGTGCGGTCCCCGCGACGCACCGAGGCGCACCGCAATCCCGGTGGCCAGGGGTCCGAGCGGCCCCCATCCGCCCGAGCTGCGCCCGCTTAGGCCAAGACAGGAAAAGTCTTGGCGCACCGTTGTGTATCCCCCCGCACCGCTTCAGCGGAACAGCCCTGGAAACTTCCTGTAGTTCAAGACACCGGTTTTCACTCCTTTTGGTGCAGAAACTTGTAAAGAGTAGGTGCACTTATACCAGACAGCATGGCCCCTGGTTTACAGAAATGCTAAAATTTAAACCCAAGAGTCAATTTGCTTTTGATTTCTTTTTTCGCAGAAACCTGGCAAAAGCACACGTTTTATGATCGTCATTTTTAATTGATTATACGCACGTGTGAGTTTGACTTTTCCAGGAGGAACACTACTTTTACTCTCCCGCACTTCATTTGACGTGTAATTAGTTAAAACAAACCCCCAAATTCCTTAATCTTGAAAATTATATGTAAATAAAATTCGTTTGGAATGCAAAATAAAACATGTAAGTAGGATATAACTGCTTTTCAGCTAAGTTCGAGGGCTTAGCGCCGATCGTGGGGGTGAAATAAGCGTTTTTGAATGAGCGGCCTGGAAATGAAAGGCCACAAGATTTAGAGAACACACGTGCCCCAGGTCTCGCGCTGCCGACCAGGAGCCTCAGTGTCGTCAACGCGCAGTTCCCGAGGTCGGCCGGGGGGTTCCCTCGGCGTCCCGGTCTAGGCTTCGACTAGCAGAGCGGGCAGGAAGCAGGTGGGTGGGAGCGCGCGGGGCGGGGGCGCCGCGAGCCTCGGCCGCAGATGCTGTGACGCCGCGCCGGGCAGGGCATTGGCGACCTCGGGAACGCCGAGGACCGCCTCGGTGTGGGGCGCCCGAGCCCGCGCGCGCAGTCGGCTGGCGGCCGCGCTGCAGCTCCGACCGCGCCGCCCGGTAGAGGGCAGCGGCGCCCCGACACTCGCGTCCTCGGGTCCCCGCGCACGTGCCCACCCGCGCGCCCCGCGCCTGGCCACGCCCTGTCCCAGAGCCAGGCCCCAGGCGGGAAACTGCTCTGCCACCTCTGGGGTGTCCTGTCCCGACGGATGCCACGTCTAACGATTCCCCCCCATTATTCCACTCTTGGGGGTACGTCTGCGCTCCCCTCCTATTTGTGCGGTGGCAAGCAGGCGAGACCTCGGAATTGCCCTAAAGGTGGCTAGACAAATAAAATGTGCAAGGGCTTAAAGAAAAAAAAACAAAACATAACAAAAAAACCTCCCGTGGGGAAGGCTCAAGGAAGGATCAGGGAAATGGTTTGGATTTGGTGCAGATGTTCTCAATCTAATTATCGTGTCGATCCCCTGGGTTTGAACCAAAAAAAAGTGAAATGTATATGACCTGTGTAATATTCCAGAAGTACATCTGGTTGGAATTCAGGGTTCTGAATCCACTGCAATATTTTAGAAATAAATTTGATGAGTATTAGATACCCTTGTTACATTTCTGGTTATATTTAGGTTATTTGCATGCTAACTTGACTTAGTAGAGAAACAATACACTGGCTCAGAAGTCAAGCTCTATTTAAATAACATTTAGGTGTCTTCTACCAAAGTTTTGCGTTATTACAAGGCTTCTTGCTCTCCTGGGGGAAAAAGGGGGGCTGGAATAACTTTGCCAACATCACAAAATGTTACCACTTTAAAATGGCATTCAAAATAAACCACTGATCAAAAATTAGCAGAGTGAAGTAATCAGCAGGGACCTATAAAAGTACATTTTATTTTTCTTGAGTGTATACATAGGATCAGAACAAACTATATTTCTAAAGACTATGTTCTTTATTTTTTTCAGCTTGACTTTGTCTCGCCATTATAGAAGGTTAGGACTCACTGACATCCAAACATAGTAGATCTACAAAACTGTTTCCGTATAAAATATTCAGAAGATGGAAACGCTTTAGGACTTGGACCTCCATTAGGACCCACAAAGACAGTAAGATGATGGCTTGAACCCCCTAGAACAAAGTATGAGAAAGAGACAGATTAGCGAGATAACTGGCCCACTACAGAGAAGCATCTTGACTAAAAGTCATTTTCTTACAATGGAGCACATGGAAAACAATGCAGCGGCATTCTTTTCACTTTTTGATGTTCAGGCTCTCCCTTTAGGGAAAGAAAGCTCACAGTTCCCAAGTTTGTGACTAATTCTCCATCCTCAGCTTTTAAAAATCAAGCCCCAAGTAACCAGATGGGGGGAAAGAGGGAAGGGGGAGTAACCAAAACTATGTTTGTTCTTGACACCTTTAAATGAAATACAGCTTAGCACCAAATAAGGCAACTAGCAACTAGGATCTGAGTCCAGAATTCCTAAATTTCTTTTCTGACCAATTTTGTTTTGCCTCAGAAAAATACAGGGGCCAAAAAAAAAAAAAAAAAAGAAAAAGAAAAATACAGGGGCCATATTGGAGGTGTGATAATACTGATGAATGTAAATTACAGAAAATGGTAAAGCACTTTTAGAAATTTACCTTCTCCTACCCTCCTGGCATCAGTGGACCTTCCTATCTCTTGACATCTACACATAGTTGATTAAATCGTAAGGTGAAAATTGGCAAATTCTCTAAAATACCATATGGGTTGATGATGACTAAATCGGTCCTCTTTCGCAGCCCCCAAGAAAGGAAAATACATTGCCTTGTTTTCTAAAGATTCTAGGTTAGTAATTGTTCTGATACACTTAACCTAATTTTTTGAAGGAATTAACCGTCAAGAAATTCTTCCAAACTGAAAAATGTCTTACCATGTAGAGCATTATTAAAAAAAAAAAAAAAGCCATACTCTCTCTCTCACAAAAGAGGCTTTATGTTCTGAGATCTTATTTATAATAGACTCATAAAACAAAGTTTCGCCTAGAAACTTTATCTTCAGAAAAAGTTGGAAAATGATCTAAACTCTGCGAATAATGAAAAAATTCAGAGATCTTCTATCCTATGTGATGTGCTTGAAATGAAAACTAAAGAAATTCATTCCAAAACTTTAATTAACTTTCTGAATATTTTTGCACCCAAATTAGAACTGGTTTTGAATAGTGTTCAACAAGAAATATTTCAGATAAGCAGAGACAAAACATGATGCTAAATGTTTGCATCATAATTTACTCACAAACAAACATAAATACATGGTCACTTTGTGGTACATGGGTAAAAATGAATCATACCCCTAATAAGTCATAAGAGAATCTCAATTTTACAAAGATAGAAGTTGAAAATTATATCAAGGTATTCATTCAAGTTGACTGAATTTGTAAATGTTTTAAATTTAGGGATATCTAAGGCCAGACAGAAGTTTTGAGACACTTTAAATTTGAAGAGGCCTTTTCCTTAAATCAAAAGAGTATGAATAACAGAAGGAAATTACTTTGTCTTCCTTTTGTCTTTGGAGACTGCCTTCCAGAACAATTTGGCATGGACTACTGGAATAAATAAAAGGAAGATTCCAGATTCTTTTTTTTTTTTTTTTGGGCGCTCAAGAAAACCAAACTACTTTTAATTGTTTTGTTTTTTAAATAATACTTTATGTTAATTATTTCTAAGTACACTATTCACTCTACTATGTAAATACCCACCAAATAAAAGTACACATTTTGCTACATGTAATTACATGCATAGTACATAATTCATCTCTATCCGCCAAATGTATGTGTAGTTATATAATTGTACCAAGAACCTGCCAAACTTGTAAGAACAAACTATAATGATTTCTAAGCAGTAGGCTCTCCTCTTCACCACCCCTATCAGCTTCTGTCTGGTGACAGCATCTCTCAGTCTCCAAGACCCTTTTAGAAATCTTCAAAGACTTAAATTCTGGCCCACCATTTAACTTTGTCTTCCACTTCTGGACAGCATATGTCGATGCCACTAGCTCTAGGTATCTTTCTGCACCTTTAATGATTACATTCTGCTCTCCTTGCTCTTAAACGAGAAAGCTTGTAGCTGGATCTCTTGGAAGGAGCTCCGTCTTAAACTTGGAAAATACATCTAGCTTCATGGATTCAACTGCTCACTGCTTTGGGACTCCCAAGCCATGAGGAGGAACCTGGGGCTTCTCATCAGCCAATTTCCCCCCAACCCCACCTGACCAGCCACACCCCCTCCCCCGCCAGAGTCTCTTTTTATTAAACTTCTAATATAAATTTTCTCAAACTTTTGAGTTTATTAGAATATGGAATCTCATTTTCCCC